ATCTATTAGTTGTTGCTATTAAATTAAATACAATTTTTATAATTATTTATATATTTTTATATTTAAATTTTAAATACACATTTTATAATCACGAATATCATAGTATTAATAACTGTAWGATTTTAATTATATGTTTTTGACTATATGATTTTAATAAAATACACTTTTTTTTATAAAATTAATTTGCGCTTATGGGTTATTAAAAAGGTAATTTTTTTTGCGCTCATGGGATATTTATTTTTGCGCTTTTGGGGTTGTGTTTGGGTCATATTTTGCGCTTATGGGCTACAGCCACATTTTATATTTTAAAAGGACGTTATACTATTGTCTTTGTTGTCTCCGTCTTATACACACGTACAACATTCTTTCACTAGGTAGTTTAAGTTGTGTGCTTTTATTTTTTATATTACGGTGAATTGACTTATTATCAAACTTTTAGGTAAGAATATTATATGTGCTTAAGTGTATGCGACATTTTGATATTTTCATTTTCAAACAAGATTTGTGGTATATGAAATGTCAAAAGTTAAAAATGCCTGTATCTTGCTTCGAAATCAAAAAACCGACGTTTAAGCACAGATAATGTCCTTAAATAATAGCTTAATTTACTCTATAATATCAAAACWAACAACACTGCACTGTTAAAAATATTGAACGAAAAATTGCCATGTCTTACGTTTTTAAGACCGAGAAAATAAACGCATTACAGGTAGCATCGTCTTAATGATTGTAAATAGAGATTTTTTTTTTAGGAATGGGTCTAATTTTTTATTTCAAAGGACCTAATAATGTTTGTCACTACATATTACACTAATTAATATTTAATTCTGCGCTCCGTGACCTATAGTGTATTTAAAATAGTGATATTTATAATAATTATAAACTATAATGTTGTACGATGGTTTTGTAGCAAAAACAACAAGAAGGCATGTACGCCAACAGGCAGATATTGGCTTGCTCGATGCACAAATACACCGAAGAGTTGGAGAGATATATTGGCAACTTTTTCGAAACAGTTTTAATTGGTAGATCTGATAAACTCAAACAGCAAACGATACAAAACATAAACGAATACCACAGCTTAGTCGAGGTATGTACTCGAATGCAATACTTTWAGAAATTATAAATAATAAAATTATACGCATTAAGTAATATTTGGATCTATATACTGACAAACCCCGATCACTATAGGTAAAGTCTTAGGTTTTATTGTAGTTGATGCTAAAATTTACTAATCGTAGGTAATACTCATCAGTAAAAGTTTAACAGAAAAAGAATAATGCAGTCAGAAAAATTTAACAATTATTAATGAATATAATAGTAAAACTTAATCACAAATAAAATCTCATAATAAAGTCGAATAAAACAAAATTCAACATTATTTTAAACTTTTAACAGAGTTCGGTAAGTTTATCCTACTTTCAACCAGTAATATAACTAGGTACCTGGATTTTAGACTTTGTCGGTACCTATCATATATAATATAATACATTTATACTAAATTATATAGATGTTTATTCAACGTTAGTACCTACGCGCATATTAATGAATTTTAACATCGCATTCAAATAGTTTATAACAGTGTCATACTGCCATCGTTTGTAGACACTTAGAATGAGCCATATAGTTACATATTTTACATGTCTATAGTCCTGTCACTTGTGCTTATTTGAAACATTTTTTCGTTGACTTCTGATGATATTATTCGCTTTACCGGCCGATAGACAATTTCAGTGTGTTGCGTTAAATATATGTATATATAATATATAAGCAACATAAAAACTACCTAATATTTAGTTAGGTACCTGATGTCCTGATAATAAAAAAAGATAATATTTGTTTTGATTTCGTGTTTTTTTCMTCATAATTGTGTTAACTAAAACACGGTTATACCTGCGCAGCAATTCGACGAATACAGAAAAAAATACATCTCGCCAAGGAATGATCAAAAATTGGCCAAATTGTACAAACAACAAGCCAAAATAGTTGAAAAATTGAAAATGGAGCAAATGAGGGAAAAAATGTTGAAAAAAGAAAATGTCGTGCTGGAGAAACCATCTGAAAGCGTTCATCTTCATCAAGAACATAGCAATAATAAAATCGTCTCACTGATAGAAAATTCAAAACATGAACCACCTGAGGAGTTGGATCAAATGGAATCCGTCATTGAACTAAAAAGAAAACAATTAGAAGATATTACACAACATTGCATAACAGTAAGTGTATTAGTAATCGGTTTTCTTTTTAGGAGTTAAGGCTTCAGCAACTAAGCCCATTGGCATACATACGTTAATATTATATACATAAATTGTTTTCAATTAATTTAGCTTAACTAGTTTTACTGCTGGGGTTGTAAAATTTTTTTTTATTCTAACCTATACGTTTTACTAAGATATATTTTTCCATTGATGAGTAACCCGATGACAAAATTATTATTTAATAGTCTATAAAACTATAATATTAATAATCAAGATGTTTGTATAAATATAACAACACTAAAATGTAAAGTTATATTAAAATGAAATGTTTCACATTTAATCTCGAAATAAACTCATATCATACTATAGTTGGAGTTGAATCACGTCATTGCATATGGTTGGTCATTGGCAAATGATTATAATCTTGACCCTGGGAGACAATTGCTGAATGTTGATTACTAATCGAAGACGGTGTTTTAAATATTCATTATAAACTGTAAATTAGTATTCAGCTTTTATAATTTTCATTTGATAAACGCCATTTCACACAAACAGGTTAATCCAAAATTTGCATGGAACTGTATAATAATAAATTCTAGCAAAGCTTCATGAGGCCCACTAAAACTTTGAAAACGCTCAAGATAACGATCCTTCAAACGTGAACGATTGTTTAGTTGCCCCTGGATTATAGGGTACATTGAAAACATTATAATTTACAATTGGTATATTATGTATTTTTAATATTTTTTAAATTCTTGGATAAGAATTACGTACGATGCGCCTTATATTAAATTCTYAAGCTTAAGAGGACGTGATACCCGCATGTGTTGTCTCTGTCTTACAAGTGCATTATATAGTAAATTTTACATTCAGCAGAACACATGTAGCTCCGTTTGCTTAAAAATTAGAGTAAATTGACCTCTTATAAAATTTAAAGGTATGAATGATTGTTATCTAGTCAACCTCATATGCTTTTTATTATATTTAAATTTAAAGGAAGTTATGAGTATTTTAAGATGCACAAAAAATTTACAATTTTAAAATACTCATAACTTGCTTTAAATCTTATAATATAAAACGTGAATCCCTATATATATCGCTCTAAGCAACCCATGGAAGAATTACGTTTTTCTTCCATGGGTTTCHTAAGACCGGCCAATCGCGTTACTTCCTCGCGGCGGCGGCCGAGCTATCACGATTTTTCGGTTATCGTATCACTCATCAGTCACAGAYATCGTGTTTTAGATTTTTCGAAACGTTTTACGCTTATTTTTTTTCGACTTTTTACTCGATTTTTCTGCTTTTACGCCCTTTTCCGTCGCC